GGAGGTGTGAGGGGAGGGGCGGTGTGTGGGGTGGGGAGGTGTGTGAGGTGGGGAGGTGTGTGGGGCGGGGAGGTGTGAGGGGAGGGGCGGTGTGTGGGGTGGGGGCGGCGCCTGCAGCTGCTTGAGCGCCTCGCCCTGCACTGGCCTCGCCCGCCACGCGGCGTTGGCAACCGCGGCGGAGTCGTAGAGCGGGCGGGCGCGCTGCAGCTCGATGAAGGCACCTCGCGCCTCCAGGTACTCCTTCAGAGATAGAGAGCCGGAGCTGCCGCCGCCAGGTACCCTGCCAAGGACAGGGCTGTGGCCCAAGTCCTGGCTGCGACCAGCCTCGGCGGCGGCGCCAACGAGCGGTGCCACCTTGCCGCCCCCCGCGCCGCCGCCCCCGGCGCTGCCACCCCCGGCGAAGGCGTCGCCTCCTCGCTTCGCCGGGGACGACAACACTCGGCCGCCTTGCGGCTCGCCGCCATCGGCGTCGCCGGCTGCACCGCCGCCGCTGTCGTCGCCGCTGTCGTCGCCGCTGTCGTCGCCGCTGCCGCCGCTGTCAGCCCCGCTGCTGTCGGGGGCACACTGCGGCAGAGCGGGCGGCGGAGACGCGCAGTCGCTTCGCGGTGCGGCCGACGACGCGGCTCCGGACGAGCCCGACTGCGGCCGCGGCGGCTGCGGCGGCTCGGGGGTGACGGCGCGCTCCGCCGGCGCGCGCCTCAGCCCAGCCTGCACAAGTGCCGGGTTCGGGTACCGTGGGGGTAGGGGAGTGTGGGTTCGGGTACCGTGGGGAAAGGGATGGGTTCGGGTATCGTGTGGGTAGGGGATGAGTCCGCCTTTCGCTCGAGCTCGCGCTTAAGCGAGTGGAGGCGCGGGACGACCGCCTTGAGCAGCTCTGCGGGCATGCGCACCTAATTAGCTCTGAATTCGCTCTGAATTCTCTTAATTGACCGCCTAAAGCAGCTCGGCGGGCATGCGCACCGCTGCGGCCTTGACCGGCGCCTCGGCCGCGAAGTCGATCGGCACGGCGCCGACGGCCTTGATCAGGCCCATCAGCTGCGGGACCAGCCTCTCTACGCATGCCATGGCGCGCGCCGCCTCGGCCTCCGCCTCCGCATCCCCGCCGGAGCAGCGCTCTGCCTAGAAGGTTCCTAGAAGGTTCCTAGAAGGTTCCTCCGCCTCCGCGTCCCCGCCGGAGCAGCGCTCTGCCGCCGCCGGTGTGCCGAGCGAGACGACGAGCTCCTCGAAGCGACGAAACTCGACGCGGAGGGTCGCGACAGTCACCTGAGGAAGGTTCCGAGAAGCTTCGGGGGGAGGAGGAGCGCCACGCCTCCCACGGCAACGGCGCCATCCGCAGCCTGCAGCTGCGCGTATGTGCTCGCAAAGGCCGACGTCTCCGCCGCCGCCCGCACCTCCGCAAACTCCTGCCTCGCGATCCAGCGGCGGAGCAGCTCGGCGCAGCCGTCGCACAGTCGCGCCGGAGGGCCCTGTCTCGCACCGCCGCCGCCGCCGCCGCCGCCGCCGCTACCGCCGCCGCTACCGCCGCCGCTGCTGCTGCTGCCGGGCAGCGGCCACGGGCGCTTGGACGAGCACGTGGCGCAGACGACCTAGGAAGTGTCCAGGAGGTGTCCAGGAAGTGTCCAGGAAGGCGCTTGGACGAGCACGAGGCGCAGACGACCTTTGCGCACAGGCGGCACTGCTTGCGGCTGCGGGAGGTGAGGCCGCTGATGCCTCCGAAGACCTCGGAGGGGAGGGGCTTCCGGCACCTAGAAGGTTCCTAGCAGGTTCCTAGAAGGTTCCTAGAGTGTCTAGGATGTCTCTAGGACGTGTCTAGGACGTGTCTAGGACGTGTCTCTAGGTGTTGTCTAGGCCGTGTCTCTAGGGTGCTCGCACGAGGCGAGGCCGCAGACGGAGGCGGCGGCGACGCGCCGCTCGTCGGGGTGATCCTCGAGCACGCCGGCCAACTGCCGGGGGGAGGGGGGGGGAGGGGAGGGGGGGGACGAGAGGGGAGCTGGTGGTGTGTGGGTATGGGTGGGTCCGGAAGGCGTGTGTCACAGGAGCCGGACTCGGGAGGCGTCCAGGATGTGTCTAGGAGGTGGTCTAGGAGGTGGCTGGAGGTGGCTGGAGGTGGCTGGGAGGTGTCTGGGAGGTGTCTGGGAGGTGTCTGGAGATGTCTGGAGGTGGCTGGGAGGTGTCTGGGAGGTGGCTGGGAGGTGGCTGGGAAGTGTCTGGGAAGTGTCTGGGAAGTGTCTACGAAGTCGCCTCTCTGAGCCGGACCCCCTCCTTGCCGCTCACGCTAAGCGAGGCGTAGCCGCGCGCCGCCGCCTCCACGCGCGCCTCCGCCTCCGCCGCGTGCGGCGCGCGCTTCGCCAGGAAGAGCTCCGTTCGGTCCCGCGCTACGACAGGGTGCGCGGGCGGCGCGGGCGGCGCCAGCGCCACGGGCGGAGGCTCGCGGCCGGGGTCGGCGTAGCGAGAGCCGGCGTCGACCACCTTGAGGACCTTGGTCACGTCGGCCGCGGTGTGCGCGCGGCCCGACGCGGCGAAGCAGCCTCCGCACACGCGGCAGAGCTCGCCGCCGTCGGATGGTTGTGCGTCCGGCCCGAGCCGCATGCGGAAGGCCGAGTGCTCGGCGCAGAAGACGAGGCCGCAGCGGCGGCAGTGGTGGCGGCGCACCCTCCACGAGTCGAACTGCCGGCCGCAGTCGGGCTGAGCGCAGTGCGTCGTCTTTGCGTCCGAGATCCAGTGCGCTCGAGTCACCGTAGACGGCGCGGCGGACTGCGGTGCCACCGAGCCCGCCGTGGAGATGGTGGAGGAGAGGCTGCTGGCCGCGGTGGAGGCTCGGCTGGCGGCGGAGGAGAGGTAGTCGTACATATGCGAACGGTGTAGTGGCAGCAAAGTGGGCGTCCACCGCTCTCACCCTGCAGGGCCCGCGCGCGCGCTAGAGCAGTCCAGGCTGGGGAACGTAAAAGAATTCCAGCCCGGCGATTCTTTGCGAGTGATGAGTGAGTGACCAAAATTCTGCCTCTCGATGCCCGCGAACCCTCTTCCACGCAACGGCGCTTGCTGATGCCCGCCCGTTCTCGCGCGCAGCTCGAAGTGCCTCGGGTACGAGTACGCCGAGGTCGGCAGCTATCGCCGGTGCGCTGCAAGCACTGCACTGGGGCCAAGCTCGCACCGCGCGCACGCAGCCTTGCCCGCACGCGCGGCTCTTGTGAGACTAGGTGCGAGCTGCACGCTGCGACGCTCGTCGCCACAGCGCCCGGAGTGAAGGGCTACGTGTGCTGGACCAAGCAGACTCCAGCGCGTCCCTGAGAGAAAGAAAACACGGCGCCGCTCCTACTCGCCATATTCGTCTCGGTTTCTCGTTTCTTGTGGTAAAGATACACCGTCCTCTGACATGGTGGAATGCCGACGCGGCCCTGCTGCGGAGGCGGCTCTGCGGTGGCGGCGTGGCGGCGGCGGAATCAATCGCCATGAACGCCGTCAGCCCCAGCTTGCTCGCTGACCTGCGCCGGGGCGACCTGACCTCGCTGCGCGCCATCCTGTTCGGGCGGACGCGCGGCCCGGCGCTCACGGCCCTGCTCGACGCGCGGCTCGAGGCTGAGAGCCAGTTCACGCTGCTGACCTACGCCGCTTGGCACGGGCATGCCGACGCGGTGCGGCTGCTGCTCGAGAGCGGTGCGAGCGTGGGGGCGACGGCTGGCGGCGGCTGCTCCGCGCTGTTCGCCGCGTGCCAAGAGGGCCAGCTCGATTGCGTTCGGCTGCTCCTCGGCGCCAGCGCGGCGGTCAACCAAGCCGACGGTGGCGGCGCCACGCCGCTGTACATCGCTTGCCAGAAGGGCCACCTCGAGTGCGCCCAGCTGCTCCTCGAGGCCAGCGCGGCGGTCGACCAAGCCAAGAACAACGGTGCCACGCCGCTGTACATCGCGTGCGGGGAGGGCCAGCTCGAGTGCGTGCGGCTGCTCCTCGGCGCCAACGCGTCGGTCAACCAAGCCGAGGACGACGGCGCCACGCCGCTGTACATCGCTTGCCAGAAGGGCCACCTCGAGTGCGCCCAGCTGCTTCTCGAGGCCAGCGCCGCGGTCAACCAAGCCAACGTCAACGGCGCCACGCCGCTGTACGTCGCGTGCTGGAAGGGCCAGCTCGAGATCGTTCAGCTGCTCCTCGAGGCTGACGCGGCGGTCGACCAGGCCGAGAATGGCGGCGCCACGCCGCTGTACATCGCGTGCCAGCAGGGCCACCTCGAGTGCGTCCAGCTGATCCTCGGCGCCAGCGCGGCGGTTGACCAGGCCAAGAATGACGGCACCACGCCGCTGAGCGTTGCGAGCCACGCTGGCCAGATTGATTGCGTCCGTCTGATGCTCGCCGCCGGCGCTGCGGTGAACCAAGCAGACACTGACGGCTTCACACCGCTGGTCGTCGCGTGCCAGGAGGGCCAGCTCGAGTGCGCCCAGCTGCTTCTCGAGGCGCGTGCGGCAGTCAACCAAGCCGAGGAGAATGGCGCCACGCCGCTGTACGTCACGTGCCAGCAGGGCCACCTTGAGTGCGCCCAGCTGCTCCTCGGCGCCGGCGCGGCGGTCAACCAAGCCAAGGACGACGGCGCCACGCCGCTGTTCACTGCCTGCGAGAAGGGCCACTTCGAGTGCGTTCGGCTGCTCCTCGGCGCCGACGCGGCAGTAAACCAAGCCAGGAATAGCGGCTGGACGCCGCTGATCAACGCGTGCTCCCATGGCCACCCCAACGTCGTGCGCTGCCTGCTGCGGGCGGGCGCGGCGGTCAACCAAGCCGCAGACCATGGTGTCACGCCGCTGTTCATCGCGTGCCAGAACGGCCAGCTCGAGTGTGCCCAGCTGCTTCTCGGCGCCAGCGCGGCGGTCAACCAAGCCGCGGACGACGGCGCCACGCCGCTGTTCATGGCGTGCTGGAAGGGCCACCTCGAGTGCATTTGGCTGCTCCTCGATGCCAGCGCGGCGGTCAACCAAGCCAAGGCGGACGGCGCCACGCCGCTGTTCGTCGCGTGCCAGAAGGGCCACCTCGAGTGCGTGCGGCTGCTCCTCGAGGCCAGCGCGGCCGTCAACCAAGCCAGGGAGGACGGCGCCACGCCGCTGCACATTGCGTGCCACCAGGGCCACCCCTCCATCGTGCTCTGCCTGCTGCGGGCGGGCGCTGACACAGCGGCGCGCACTCCGGACGGGCGAACGGCGCTGCAGCTGGCCAAGGAGAAGGGCCACACCGAGTGTGAGCGCGCCTTTGAGGCGGCGGCGAGGGAGGCGAAGAGAGCGGAGATTGAGGCGAAGGTGGCGAGGGCGGTGGCCGAGAGGGCAGTGGCCGAGAGGGTGGAGGCCGAGAGGGCGGCCGAGGAGACTGCGGCGGCGCTGCTGGCGGAGGAGGAGTCGGAGAAGTGCCCCGAGGAGAAGAAGACGGCCAAGAAGAGGGGCAAGAAGAAGAAGCAGGGCGGCGGGGGCGGCGCTGGGCCGTCGCAAGAGGCCGAGGCGCCGGCAGAGGAGGCGGCGGAGGACGCGGTGGCGGCGGCGGAGGAGGCGGAGCTTGCGGCGGCGCTCGAGGAGAGCGCGAGGCTGGAGGACGAGAGGCGGGCGGCGGAGGCGCAAGGGCCGTCGTCGGCTGCAGAGGCGCCGGCTCCGAGGGAGGAGGAGCCGCCGGCCGACTTCATCTGCCCGATCACGACCGAGCTCATGAGCGACCCGGTGATGGCGGCGGACGGGCATTCGTACGAGCGGTCGGCGATCGAGCGCTGGCTCGCGACCAAGTCGACGAGCCCGATGACGGGCGAGGCGCTCGTGCACAGCTTCCTCGCCCCCAACCACACGCTGCGCCGGATGATCCGGGAGTGGGAAGAGGCGAACGCACGCTGAAGAGCGCGGCGCTTGCGCCGCCCGCCACCGTCGGCCGTCGGCAGCGGCTCACACCGTCCCACCCGGTGGGACAGGGCCGGAGCAGGTCCAGGTGGGGACTGCTGAGACTACGCGCCCTGAGAGGACAGCGATCTCGTTGTGCATGGAACAAAAGCGAGAGTCGGCGCCCGTGCGGTTTCTTTTTGCGACGAATTTTATTTTTCTTTTTTGCACAGGTCACGGCGCGGTGCGTGCCTCGCTGGTTTTCCCGGGTTCGCATGCACGGTCGGGAGCGACGAGCAGCGCCCTCGGAGCCGGCTGCGGACGGCAAGCCTTACTCGAAGAAGAAGCTGAAGCCAAAGAAGGTTCGAGCGGCTGACGTGCTCGGGCCAGCGCAGCCGAGCCGGAGGCAGGACAAGGTCGAGGCAGCGGAGCCAGCCGTCGTAGCAGCGCCAGCGCAGGAGTGCGATGGCGCACCCATGAGTAAAAAGGAGGCGCGGAGGAAGGCACGCGAGGCGGCGGCCGCCGTGGCGGCGGAGGAGGCGGCCCGTGCAAAGGCGGCTCGCGACGAGGCCGCCTCCGCAGCCGTCGAGGCTGCAGACAGGCTTCGGGCGGCGCTGAACGCGGCCTCGGACGAGCAGGGCTCCTCCTCCTCAGCTGAGGAGGAGGAGGAGGAGGAGGAGGCTGGCGGCGCGCCTTGCAATGCCTTCTCCGGCCTGCTCCTCGGCGGGAGCGACGGCGACGAGACGAGCAGCGGCGAGGAGGAGGGCGAGGAGGACGGCGGTGCCGCCGTGCGGGCTGGCGGCCGCGTGCCTGCCGTCGCCGCGGCCGCGCCTCCGCAGCGCGACACCACGGTCGAGGAGGCGCTCGCTGAGGCGAACGCTGTCGCGGCCAAGCAAGAGGAGGCGGCAGCGCAGCGGCGGGCGAGAGCCGTCCAGGCGCCAGAGGCGGCAGCGGGCGAGGAGGGCGCTCGCCCGCCGCCGTGGCCGGTGATGGCGATGGAGGCGGTCGAGGCGGCGGCGCGGAGAGGAGACGGCGAGGGCGGAGGGGCGAGCCTCGCTTGGGTGAAGGGGTACATTGCCGCGCGCTGGTTCAGCACGACGGCCGCGACCGCGGCGGGCAGGCCGCTCGAGGAGGGCTGCAAGGTTGGCCAGGCGGCCGCCGACGACCCGGGCGCGGTGCGGCCGTGGAACGCCGGCGGTCCGTACCGCGGCAAGTTCGAGACGGCGCGGAGACGGCGAGTGCGCGGGGCGGAGACGCGGCCGAGACTTTGTCACTCGGCGTCGGCATGTGGCGTATAGGCTGTTGGGGTGCGAGGAGGCGACGCGCGCCTCGACAAGGCGCTGGCGCAGGCGGTTCTGTCGGAGGTGCCGCCCGCACGACCGCAGGCGCCTCTTCCCTGAACCTCTTCTGAACTGTCCTTTTGGGCCGTTCCTTAGGAGCTGCTGCCGCCCGACCGGAAAGGCCGCTACCGACTCGCTCAGCGGCCGGAGCGGGAGGGCACGCCGGAAGGGAGGCCGGCGACGGGCGATATGAGACCGCTCACTGCGGAGGAGAGGGAGGAGGTGCGGCGGCAGCTGCGCGCCACGCTGGAGGAGCGAAAGGCGAGCCGGGAGGGCCGCGTGTGACCTCGGTGTTTCAGCTTGAATCCGTTCGGTGTCCTCTGTCTCTGAAACCCCTAGTGAAAACCACGTGTACGACCGCGGTTCGTACGGTAAAGCCGTACACACAATTATCATATGAGAGCACCTGCTATGACCGCCTATGGAGCTACAGAGCCCAAGGTGTGTGCGTGGCCGCTCACAGTTAGGATATGGCGGGCTTAGCACACATGCAGGCTGGATGCAGGAACCCAAATCCGCGAGCGCAAAGACGCCCACTGATCTGTCTACTAGTACTACCTTTCACGTGACTGGCATGGCATACACGGGCTGGAGGCTGTGGAGCGCGACTGTCGCACCGCCGCCGCCCCCTCCAACAAGGCCGCTGCCCTCCCCAAACGGAGGCTGCATGCAGCCCTGGGCTCTGTGGCCGCCGCCGTTGAGATGGCCGGAGTAGTGGCCGTCATCGGGAGCCCCGAGCAGGAAGGTGCCCCACAGCGAGTGGTTGGCCCACGGCTTGCAAAACATCCTGTCCTCCATGAAGACGCCGTCAGGCACGATGGAGAGCACGCGCTGGTAGTGGGTGAGCCTGGCAACATGGTTGCCGTCGAACCACTGCTGCACGGGCGTCAGCCTCGTTAGGACGCCTCCGCCCTTCTCCTGCGCGTACGAGACGTTGCTCGCGCGTCCCATCCTTCGATGTGCCTTGCACACCACCTTGGAGTTCCTGACGTGGCACCGGTTGATGCCGACGGAGAAGTGGACCTTCTCTACGCGCGGCTCCGTCTCCATCAGCGCCAAAAGAGCGAACAGGTCGAATTTTCTCTTCACTGGCATGTCGTTTTGCAGGACGGCGACGAAGGGGGTGCTCACGCCAGCCATACCGGCCCTTATGGAGCCGGATAGGCAGGCACGGTGAGGCAGCTCAATCACCTGAGCCCCGTGCGGCAGCTCGCCGCTCGCCTTGTCGATGGACTGGCGTTTGTACGCGGCGTAGGCGGCCGCGTCGGCCTCCTTCGAGCAGTGCGGTGCCAGCCTGAGGCCGGGGCTGATCGATGCACCTGAAGGAGGGTGGCACTCCTTTTGAGAGCATGGAGGGGACAGAGCACGAGGGTGTGCACCCATAGCGTCTTCAGTCACTGGTCGGGCTGTTCTCAGTAATTAACCAACGCCAGCGCACCGTCAAACACGAGCCGAACGCGTTCGGCGAGCAAAGGAAGGATTCGCAGCGAGGCGAGGGTGATGGAGAGGAACCCGTAAGCCATGTGCGGGCCAGGTGCGTCAGTCACGATGGTGGTGATGTTGGAGTTCCTGCTCGTGCTGTTTGCGTCGGTCAGGCGCGATGGCGCCGAGAGACTGAGTGCGCGCCGGCGCTTCCACCGTCGTGACGAGGGCTTTACCCACGTCGGCGGCTGCTGGGTCAGCGGGGTGAGTTCGAGCAGGACGAGCATGCGGCGCTTGCGCACGGGCGATGGGCTTGACTATGGACGTCGGCTACGCCCGTCCCCCGACTAACAGTTCGCGCGACAATAAGGAATTTAAACAAAACAACTCTCTCTCACAGCAGACAGGCTCGACACAGGTGCGAACTGGCGCGTGCTAGTACTATCACCGGCACACCATAATAAGGAATTCAAGCACGACCCTGGACGAAGCCGTGCTACTCGAGTAGAGGAGGTCCGGGGCATGGGGAGGGAGCAGCTAGTCCACGAATACCGCCGCCTCTGCATCACCGGTTTCCGTCTGACCACGGGCAGAGGAGTGCAGTCAGTAACCGCAGGAGAAGTACTACATCAGCCAGCCGGTCGGCTGGCACTTGCTCTACGCGACCGACGATCCCCCGGGGCTCAAAATCTGGGGCTTTTCGTCGCTCAGATTCCTCACAGGGGTCAAGATCGAGTACCGCGGGGAACTCACCTCGTACTGCGATACGTACGAGACGAACCATGACGCTTGCACGAGTTGCGGCAAGCGGCCCGGCTGGACACCAACTGATGGCTGGGCTTGCCCCGAACTCGGATGTCTGGAGTGCAGGGATTCAGAAGGCACTATGTCATGGCATCCCTGCGCCTTCGACCATGGCGGTGCTGGGTTCTGCGACAGCACTCCGCATGCTCAATGCCCAAACAACCAGTGTGAGCAGATTAGGAAAGACCCCTGGACCGGCTTGCCCTGTGATCCGGAGCGCGCCTGCGACGATTCGGATCCGGACCATGATGGACCATGCGAAGGGGGCCAAAATCGGGCACTTTGCCCGTACTATGATTGCAAGGACACGCCGAAGTCGCGCGAGTTTGAACTTGACTCCGGAAAAGTCACAATGGAATACCATTTGCAAACATTTGTTAGAATAACGGGCAGTTCTAACCCAAACGACGGGAGGAATAATGGTGCCTACGTGAAGATCACCACCGACAACTATGGCGGCAACGCGTACGGCCACTGCGTCTACCAGCCAATCTGCAAGAGCGCATGGGTAGACATTTCAGGTGCCCGGCCCAACACACCTGCATATAATGACTATTCTACGTGCTACGCCGCGGGCCATGGAGATGGGGGAGAGAGTAGAAGGTGCTTCTCCAACAAGTGCAGACCATGCGTCCCCAAGTCCGTGCATGCCGACTCAAAGGATAACTGCCAGAAAACTCCAACTCCATCGACGACCGGCGACGACGTGGAAGGAGCGCTGTCCAGGGCCGAGGGATATTGGACTAATCGTGACGGCGGAGAACATTACGGAGACGCAGGCACATGGGAGTTTGAGAGGGTCCGCCCCTATTGGGATATTTGCGCCTTGCGGCCTGATGACGACTTTTGCAAAGCATGGAGCATTGGCTTGCCCATTCCCGCACCGTACTTAGAGTAGAATTGCAGTGCACCCGCCCGGCGCTCCGCGCCATCCCTGGTCTGGCCGGTTCTTTCGCGGGTGTCGCTGGCCTCCGGGTCTGACTCCGAGACCGGGGTTCGGGTTCTAACGCGCTCTAGACGCTTCCTCGAGCCTCAAGGGTGATGGGGGTGGTGGGAGGTGTACAGGAGGGGGTCTGCGGCACCAGGATATTTTACTTGAGATCATTTTTGGAGGCGCGCCCGCCAGGCCCGTCCCCACTTTCGCTAGAAGGCGACGGCCGCTCATGAAGTGGGCGAGGTGGGCAAATCCCTGCTTGGTGCCTATGTAGTCGCGCGGCATGATCCACGACACAAAATGAGACGTGTACTTGTTATGTTGACGCCTCGTTCCTTTGTTGGTCCCGCTGCAAGTGTAAACCTCGTGTCCCCACCCTGGCGGAATATAGACAAGGTCGCCCGGGTACTGCGTGAGCGGCTTCACTGCCTCTGCTTCACGTGCGGCTTCAATGCGCGGGTACTTGAGCTCATAAAACGACCAGATTTTGGCGCTGCCGTCGCCTCGCTTCCCAATCATGTAATTGAACACGCCCATTACGTGAAAGTGGCCTTCTGTTTTGTTTCCTTCGGGCAGACACCCAAATGTGGCACTGTCGTTGACATGGAGAGCTTGTGCCAGATCACGCTCCACGCCCGTGGGATTGCCAAACATTTGTGTCCTCACCGTCTGTGCCTGACGAAGCATCTCTTCGTCTGCAAGGTCAAGCATTGTGTGTACTCCCTTGGTGAAAGTGGCATTTGCTTTGTCGTGTAGCGTCTCCTCGATGTTCTTTGGCATAAACTGCCCGAAGTGAGCGCAGTCGAACACCGTCGGCACACTGGGTAGCGAGTTGATATCAGAGCCTGTCGAGGACTGGGGCTCCACTCGAGGTCATGTTCATAGATTCCAAAGCATTGTTAATAGCAAAGGGGGGAAAAGGTACCCTCGACCCTCACGCCTGCAACCCTCGCGCGACAGCACACCACTGCTCCGCACGAGACACCGTTGCAGGACCAACCCCAAAACGCGACAGCGCACACAATAGGGAGGGTGGGTGGGGAAGCAAAACAGGCCGTGTGGGGTGTGGGTGTCACGAGGACAGACGTCCACGAAGACGGTGGACGGACGCAAACTCCTTATCCGATTCACTCACGGCTGTCCTACTGGTTATATAGAAAGTCGGCCGTCTGCGAGCCCCCGGCTCGCCGACGGCGAGAGAGATGCCACGAGGGGTCGCGGTGGCGTCCATCGCCAGGCTCCCTAGCTCAACCGACGACCCTTCGGGATCGACGGCCGATCGTCATGAGCCTGTCGAGGACTGGGGCTCCACTCGAGGTCATGTTCATAGATTCCAAAGCATTGTTAATAGCAAAGGGGGGAAAAGGTACCCTCGACCCTCACGCCTGCAACCCTCGCGCGACAGCACACCACTGCTCCGCACGAGACACCGTTGCAGGACCAACCCCCATCGCCATCCATCGTAGAACATGATCTCGAGCCCTGCCCCACAGCCCCTCAGCCACTACACCATCATAGTCACTCGCGCGAGCCGCTCGATGCGCGAGGCGAGATCGAGGCCGGCGTAGTGCTGCTGCATCGACCTCTCTCGCTCCTGCTCGTTCCAGCCGAAGATGCAGTCGATGTCTGTGATGGTAGCGCCCGTGATATCAATCCTGCCCGTGTCAGCGCCGGCGCCCGCCAGTGCGTCCGCTTGCATGGGGTGGTCCAACGGCGATGAGCCACCGGGGTTGCCCGCGTCAGCGCCGCTCAACGCCTGCGCTGTCACATCCTGAGCGACCTTAGCAACCGCGCTGGTGCCGACACCCGCAAGAGCTACACCCTCCGCGACTCGAGGGGGCTCCTCTGCGACAGGCGCTTGCGCCGCGGCCGTGTCATCCCCACTCTTCTGACGCTTCTTGTGCTGCCTGCCACGCGCCTGCTGACACCTCCCACACAGCACCAGCTCGCCGGCGACTGGCGCGCGCGGCACGCAGTGGACAGCAGACACGTTGCCGTCCACTTGGACGTCGAAAACACGGCCTGGTACGTTTGCGTAGTCGAAGCGAAGCGACGTCGCACTGTCAGCGGCTTGGATAGCCTTCCAGGGGCGCCCATAGCTCTCCGTTGCCTCGCATTCGGCACACTTGGCGCCCAGCAGGGGGATGGGATACGGAGTCATCGCTCGCGGCTCCAGACTCCCTGCTCTGCTCTGCTCAACTCTGCTCAGGTCTGTTCGGGCTTTTTTTTTCAGTGAGCGGCGCGGGCCCCCATGGCAGCTACGCGCGCTCTTCGCGTAGGAAGGGTGGGAGGGAGGGAGGGTGGGGGTGCGGGGGAGGGAGGGAGGGAGGGAGGGTAAGAAATATAAGCCACTCACTCACACGATCGAGTAGTGTAAAGGAGAACCGATTAACTCAAACTCATCACAATTCCACATCTTCGCCACCTCTAACAATTGTGTCGACGCCACATCACACAGCGCGACACTCTTCACCCGAAAACGCTGCTTGTACCACACCCATGTGTGTCTCGATGTCATGTGTATGCGCTAATAGACGTTCGAGAATGGCTTGCAACGATGCTACGTCGTCGTCGTTGATCGGGGAAGGTATGCCCTCATCATTAAGTTGTGTGATGATGAGGGAGTCGAACTTGAACACGTTCACGTGAATACCAACACTGGTGCAGTAGGACCGCGCCAGGCATAGAAACTCATTCTCCCAATATTGGAGGATTTTGGAGACGTAAGATCCGCCCTCGTTACCCCTGTCTGTCTTACGAATGTCCCAAGCCTGCTTGTAGACATCGATGGTTGTTGCCAATTGGATGAGCCAGGCTCGAATCTTTTTGACGCAGTCGTCAAATAAGGCAAGCTGTGGACAACTCTTCCCAGGTGCCCACTTGTACGGCTCTTTTCTGAAAATGGCAGCAAGGATAACCTGCTTAGGTTCATTGCTGCTACTCTTGTCTATCACGGGCATATTTGCTTTCACATTTCGCATAAAGTTTGCCTTGCGGTCACCCAGCATGTAAAAAAAAATATTCTTAGCTTCAAGCCCCCCTCCGAGACTGGAGACAGTCACACCCCAGTATCAGACCAGGGGGAGTGCCCCCCGCCCCCACTTGCCCTGACTGCACAGGATAGCGTGCCCCGATAACGGCGACACATAGTGGGGGACACTGCGCAAGGAGGGGGTGCGAAGGCTCATTGGGGTGCTAGGTGGGACCATGAGGGGGGGTGGGCGGGGTCCTGTGGGGGTGAAATGTTGCGCGGCGAATTCGAACCTACCCCCTCGCCGCGCCGATCCTCACGCGGAGGGTAAAACCCTGTGGGACAAAACCCCCCCGCGGTCGGCAGTCTTCAGAGTGGACCCCCCCCTCCCCAGCCTCCCCTGTGCATCTCGCACCCCCCCCCGCTCCCCATCGGTGACTCGCGAAGGACACGGACACTCGGGGTGAGGGGGGGTCCCCCAGAGAGGGGGCTTTGGGGCATTGTTGGGTTGATCGCTCGTGCCGATCTCGGGTCGATTTCGGGTCGATCTCGGGTCGATCTCGGGTCGATCTCGGGTCGATCTCGGGTCGATCTCGGGTCTCGGGTCGGTCTTGGGCGGGTCGGTCTCGGAGTGGTCTAGAAAAGAAAAAAATGGGGCGAGATGAGGCGAGATGAGGCGAGGCCTGAGGCGAGGTGGGGGGCGAGATGAGGCGAGATGAGGCGAGATGAGGCGAGATGAGGCGAGATGAGGCGAGGTGAGGCGAGATGAGGCGAGGTGTGAGGCGAGATGAGGGTTGAGCTTGAGTCGAGGTGAGGCGAGATGAGGCGAGGTGAGGCGAGATGAGCGGCGAGGTGAGGCGAGATGAGGCGAGGTGAGGCGAGATGAACCAAGTCCAGGCGAGATGAGGCGAGATGAGGCGAGATGAGGCGAGATGAAGCGAGGTGAGGCGAGATGAGGCGAGACTAGGAGGCGAGATGAAGCGGGATGTTGTGTGGCTGCTTGTGCTGCCAAGCAGGCAGCACAAAAGCAGCCATACAAGTGAGCTTTTGGGGTGTGTGGCTGCTTGTGCTGCCTGCTCATGAGCAGGCAGCACAAGCAGCCACACAAGTCAGCTTTGGGAGCTCTCGGCGACGCCCAATGCGTGCGCCGGTAGGGGGGAGTGTGCGCGCGCATGTGTGAGATGTGGATTGTGGCAGGCCTGCTGCTGCTGATGGGAAGTGTGCTCTGTGTGTGGCGCTGCGCTGGCGTGCGGCGCGCGCGTGCTGTGCGCGTGTGCGTGTTGGATCCGCGCGTGCGTCTGCGTGTGCTGCGCGCGCGCCGCCGGTGTGTGCTGTGTGCTGCACTCTGCTGTGCGCCTGTTTGTGAGTCTTTGAGGCGCAGGCCTGGCTGGCAGGGCTGCGCGGTGGGCTGCGGCGCGCTGCGGGTGGTTGTGCGCCTGCCTGGTGGTGTGCGGCGGCCACGCCACCCGCCCGACCGGGTCGTCGGCGGCCCAGGGCGCGAGCATGCGGTCGGCGCTGCATGTGAGGCTGCTGCGCGGCTGGCGCGTATGTTTCCGTGCGATGAGGGACGCGCGTATGTGTTCACGCTGCGGGCGCGGGCGGGCGCGGGGGGCGGCGTGGTCTCACCGCGGTCCGACGCCGGTTGGTCTTCGGCGTGGCGAGGGCGGGCGCGCAGAGAGGCCTTGCCCGCCATCGCGTTGCCGCGAAGGAAAAAGAATCTAACAGGTCACCCAGCATGTAACCTAGGGGTGAAATGTCGACGGGACATGCATCGTGGAGCCCATTCGCACCCTTGCATGGCAATCCAGTCCAGTATCCGAACCTGGCACGATGACATATCCATTTCGGTTGCAAAGGACCCCATCAATGGGCGAAGGAGGGCACCCCATGCCATTTGTAACGTCTTCACTTGACCATTCTCGTTATAACCATATTGTCTACCGAATTCATTCTTTGGTTTGTAGTGGCGTGGGGCATAGACAAAGCCACCAATTCGCTCCTGGCTTATGAATTCGCGGCAAATACTTCGCATGGTCTGTGTTACATTTTGAATTACTTGCTTTTTGGCTTTCCCATACGTCAGCGACGAATCCTTAGCTATCAACTTAGCGATTTCCTTTTTGAGCTTCTCCTGGCAGTTCCTCTCGATCAGCGCTTTGATGTCTTCTTGATTGAGAATGGCACAGGCCCCAGGGAGGCTCGCAAATTCACGGACGTTTCCGATTTGGGAGCAGGAATTGGTCCATTTGTCTACGTCTTCCAAGTTTAGGGGGAGTCCCATTTTATTGTTACAAAGAAAAAATTACGGATGAAAAACTGACATTCAAACTTAAGTTTGAACAAACTTAAGTTCCCCCAGTGGAAGGGAGAAAGGGCCTTCCTTCCTTTTTTCCCCCGGCACCCCCCTTTTTCCCTCCCTCCCTCCCCCCCCCCCCCCCCGCACCCCCCTCCCTGCCACCCACTCTTTCCTACGCGAAGAGAGCGCGTTTAGTCGCCCCGTGTTTAGCAGCTCTCTCCCAACCAGTCGACGCCGGCTCTCAGTGAGTAAATTTAAAATTTTGCTTTGGTGGGCCCCAAGTAAACTTGTAGCGGCCTTGCTCGTCAAAGACGGTGCATCCTCGAGTAAATTTGTACTTGCCGTGCTCGTCATATATGTCCTTCCGTTCCTCTGTTTGAATGCACTTTCTCTCCTCTCGTTGTTTCTCTTCCTCCTTCCCCTTGTCACTCTTCTCTCCAGCCT